AATTTGTCCCAAAGTCCAGTCTAAACCTCCCCTGTTGCAGCTTGAAGCCCTTCCCTCTTGTTCTGTCGCTAATTACCTGTGAGAAGAGACCTGCACCAGCCTCTCTCCAATGACCTTTCAGGAAGTTGTAGAGACTGATGAGGTCTCCCCTCAGCCTCCTTTTTCTCAAACTAAACATTCCCAGCTGCTTCAAGTGTTCTTCATAAGATTTATTCTCTAGGCCCTTCACCAGCTTTGTTGCCCTTCTCTGTCCCTGCTCCAGCACCTTGATATCTCTCTTGAATTGAGGTGCCCAAAACTGGACACAACACTCCAGGTGTGGCCTCACCAGTGCTGAGGACAGGGGGACAATCACCTCTCTACTTCTGCTGGTCACACTGTTTCTAATACAAGCCAGGATGCCATTGGCTTTCTTGGCCACCTGGGCACACTGCTGGCTCATGTTCAGACAGTTGTCAATTAGAACCCCCAGGTTGTTTCCTGCCAGACACTTTCCAGCCACACTTCCCCAGGCCTGGAGCATTGCCTGGGGTTGTTGTGGCCCAAGTGCAGGACCCGCACTTGGCCTTGTTGAAACCCAGACCATTAACATTAGCCCAATGATCTAATCTGTCTAAGTCTCTCTGTAGAGCCTCCCTATCTTTGGTCTTCGGCCAGTAGTCTTTGGTCTGTAGGGGATCACAAGCTCCCCAAAGCCCTTCAGCAAGGGCAGTTAGAGCTTTTGGTCAGGACACCTGTTTTTCCTCTGGTCTCACAAAGCCAGTATCCCCCCTTGAGGAGCAGGGGTAGGGATCAGAGCAGCTCGTTCAGGCTGGGGCTACGCTGATGTTTGTCAGGCAGGCTGGGATCCACAGCCTAACCCCAGTGTCAATGTTGATTTGTGAATCCTTAAAGTGTTATTTACTGACTCCTCCAAGGAATTCTTGTGTCCTAGAGACCTCACTGTGCCTTCTGCAAATGCAGAAACAAGTTAAGCTTTCACCAATATTCTTTTAATTGAGCCCATGAAAGGGAGCAGGCTGGGGCACTTCACTGGACCTCCTGAGATTCTATGTTGCAGTGCCAGGCTTTCCTCTTCATTTGCAGGAGAGGAAGACCAGAACTGGAAGAAGTAGGACAGTTGGTTCTGGTCTAATCTGATTCTAATTTTTAGGCACTCATTGCTATATTTTTGATCACTGCTGCCAGATTGCTTGTGAGGCAAGTGGCTTTCTAGCCCTTCCTTTAAGTGCAAGGTTCCAGGGCCAGAAACCAGACTTGTGTCCCCACTGGGAGTACAAAGCCCCTTCCCAAAGATCCTGAATGCAGCACTTAGGCCTCCTGAAAAACAAGAGGACTCCTCACTGCACTATTGATACAGATTATCAAGTGCAGTGGCACTATTCAGGCTGTGATAGGCAATTCCTGTCATCTCTGTGCTGGCTGATCACTCTCCCATGAACCCTGTACAAAGTGGAGTTTGTTACAGAATTAGAAAGATGAGGTTTCCTAAAAGCCTCATCTTACTTTCTGGGCTCTTCCTGAGGTGCCAGTGCATTTCAGACAACATTAAGGATGATCAACCAGCTGCTCAGTCCTGAACTATACCCATGTCCTTCATCTTGAATAGGGTTTCAAACGTGAAAAGAAGCATGCTGACCTTATGCTGAGAGAGGGAACCTGATTACTGGCCCAGCCTTTTGTATTCTCATGCAGACAGCAAGCAATGGTAGAGCACATTTCACCATGCTTACTCCTGTAAACCCAATGTGCACCAGAGTCAGGACTGACTTTCCTGAATTGCAAGGACAGCACCTGTAGAGTGTTTTGATCCCCAAGCTCAGTGCACCACGAGAAAGGCAGGTGACACAGAAGTACACGTCTTCCTGGGTGGTGTAGCACCCTGTTTAGTCTGAGCTCAGCCACAGCCTGTGTGAAGGACAAAGAGTATGGACTGGCATTCTTGATCTGTCATGTTCCTCAACTTTTGGTGTCCATTTCTCTGAGAGGTATAAGGAAGAGTCTTCTCTGTCTGCCAGGACAGATTTTGGATGCTGCTATAGCTTGAGCACTTTTCTTGAAGAATTAATAGCCTAACTCTCTTTCCTTTGTTCTTCTTTTCCAGGGGCTTTGCCAGATAAAGGAGACTTGTTTCTGGACCCTGCCATGGATCAGGAACTTGAGAAATTGTAAGTGGAGTTGCCTAAAGTAGGAGGTGGAGCAACAGATAAAGGTAGCACACTAAGGAATATGACTTCTAGTGAAGTACTGTCCCTATTCCTTTGCTCTACTATAAGGCAGTAGAGGAGCTAACAGAGCAGATGGAGCAGAGAGGGTGTCTCTCTGTGGGGTGCCTTGATGTAGCTAACAAAATCCTTAGAAAAGGCTTCAGAAGCAGCGGGGGAAAGTGTGCCTCAAAGAGGAATCTAGAGGAATCAGCAGTCTCTAGTGATTAGAGAAATTTTGTTTGGATGGTGAAAACTAGGTGTGTTGGACACAGGCTCAGCACAAAAGAACTGTTTCAATGGGAAGATTCACACAGTGAGTCTAGTAGGTACTAGTGCAAGGTGTTTTCCCTCTGTGCCACGAACATCTTTCCATCCCTGTGCTAACCGTGAATAAGTTCTCCTCCCAGGTTCACTCCAAAGCTGCTATAGTAGAGGTTGGACATCACAAGTTAGGCTGCCTATCCTTTGTCTCTTCTCTTTCAGGGTAGCTCAGGTTTCAGGGCTTTCTGTCTCCGGTCCCACCAGGTGTGGGGGAGACACACCTAGTTTGCCTGTCCGTACCTCACCCAGGATTAACTCACCTTGGAAACCTCTGCACCATCGGAGAAAAATGGATGCTGAGAGTGAAGGCTCCAATGAAGAGACAGACTCCTCTGAAAACTGAAGGTTGCCAGGGTGGGCACCAGTCCCACCTTGGCTTTTTCCAGAACCCACTGGAGGAACAGCACCTCTTCCCAGAGCATCTGCTCTGACAGTGGGTTCTGTCCACATCAACAGTGTGTGTGCGGCTGTGCCAGCTTCCATTGCCAAGCCCACCCATCTCTTCCCAGGAAGAACTTGCCTTTTTCCCAACGTCGTGTGGGAGCTTCGCTGCAGAAGCTGTTCCCAGCTGCAGTTATGCTACCCTCTGCTGGCAGGCAAGGCAAACCAGCAGACGCTAGCTCTGCTTCCGCTTGGCAATAGCTGGGTGTGCTCTGACAGGGCTCTCCCTCACGGTTCAGCAGGTGCTGGAGCATGGGGAGCCCTAGTGCGGGCTGCTCACCCGTGTTTTGTTGTGCAGCGCTGATCAGGCTTGGCCTTGGCAGTAGAGTGGGTAAATCGCCAGCAGCAGCTCTGCATTTCTGCTCCCTTATTTATTCCTAGTAAAGCTGCACCTGCATATGCTCAAAGGTAGAGAAATTCCTGAAATTCCTAGAAAAGAAAGGCTTTGGTATTGCCATGCCACCTGTCTCTGCTTCCTCCTCCATGTGTCCAACACTTGCCAAAGCAAATACAGCAAATAAGCTAGATTGCAGTACGTACTGCATGGTGCTGTCTGGCTCCTCTGCTGTGCTCAGTTCCCTTCTGTGAGGCCTCCCACTGCCTCCAACACCATAATAAGGGAATTTGGCAAGGCAAGTTCCAAAGGGGCTGGAGGAGAGAGGGAGAAAGTCTTGAAATTCCTTGGCCACAGGTGGTGTAGTTTGCCAACACAGAGAGCATGTCCTGGGGGTGGGTAGGCAGAAGCCCTGGGGGACAAAGAAACAGTTATCAAGCAAATCCCGGGTATTTATTTTGTAAATATTGGCCTTGCTGTTGCATCATGGTGTAGCCCTTACAACTACAAAAAGAAGTAGCATCTAATTTTGTTGATGGTAGCTAACTCAGCAGTTTGGCTTCCACAGCCCTGAACAGGTTGTCTAGCCCAGCTCCTCTGCACTAGCTTGCCTAGACTAGCTATTTCCTGGGGAACTTCAGTTTCTCTCGACTCTTTGGGAGCCTCCTTGCTCCTGTTCATAAAATTCTGCCGTGTGGGCTGCTCAGAGCTGGCAACCAAAGCTTATAGCACCCCTAAGCTGAGTGGATTTAACACATGCTGGAGCTATTTTAAGACTAATCCCGTAACTACTGCTGAGTCTGTACCACAGCCCCACCTCTGGAGGGAGTGGGATGGGTTCTTTATTTATTGTAAGTGATTTTATTTATGAACGTGCTCCCTAACTGCGCCTTCTCTCCCAGCCATCAAGTGACAGCCGGCAATAAAACCCCCCTGCGTGAGGCGACTGCTGCGTCTGGGCTCTGCTGAGCTGCCCCGGCCGCTCCTGCGGGC